GAGATGGTATTTCCATAATTTAAAACATTAATGTATTTATTGGATGTAGTACATTATATTAACTTCATTTTGTTTAGGGTTTAGGGTTTAGGGTTTAGTCTATCAATAGGTTTTGGGTTAATTTAAGAATGTGGACCAGACAAGAGCCTATCAGTTGAGGAGTCTCTTTCATCTTACCGAGAGCCTTTGACACCGGACTCGGGGTGTAACATTGGGTCTCCGGATGAGAGCGCTGGAGAAGAGCGATCATCAAAGAAGCCTAGATTGGTGAGAGGTGCAGCTGGTTATACACCTGATATGGTAGTGGCACACCCAATACTAGAATCAGGCTTGAATGCTTCTTACCATCAGTCAGACCATGCTCTCGCCTTTGACCATCCTTCTACATCACTGGTTGGGACTGAAGATCGATTGGAAAAGGTTTCAGGAGATAATCTATGAGTTGTATCAGGTGGCATCTGTAGTTGAATGTATCACATGTAGTGTTTGTCTATCCTTATTCCTATTAGTTAGGAGTTTCCTCTAGTGAGGTGATCACAATTCTCTGATTCTAGACACTGCCACGAGCATCAATGAATATATGTTTTATTACCCTTGTTATGGCTTATCATACCGAATTCGCTACGATGGTAGTTAGAGTAGTATGGACATAGTATAGCAATTGTGAATTTGTTCTATTAAAGAGGTGAATGTAAAATGTTCTCATTTTCTGATATTTTCAAAAGTATTTAAGTTTTTTTCCCTCCAATTTTGATGTTTTTCTATACTTTACAACTAAACAACCTCTCTTTCTCCTCTTACACTCTCACACGAAGCAAATATTGAAGCAAAATACAGAAAGAAAAGTTCACTCACTTCCCGGGAACAAAGTTGGTGACTTTCTCTATACTACTAATATACTAGAGTTTATCATTGTATATGTAAAAAATGTCCAACCATTTTAAATCTTGTTATATACTGTAATAGCTTTAGAGTTTAGAGGAAAAAAATTGGTTTCCACTTATACCAAATTTCGAAATGACGAAATCATGCATACAGTATTCTAATTTCATAACACTTCAAATAATTCGACATAGTCATTAGCCATTATAGTTTTCGAAATAGTGATTATAGTTTTCGAAATATTCATTGGTCATTAGAGAGTGTTAAGAGAGTGATTATAACAGTTCTTTACCAATTATGAATCAGATATTTTCTAACCTATCATCATCAAATACTATTATGTACCTTGCTTTATACCATGTCATAATATAATGTACTTTATGTATACTACAGTACAAATTTGCTGAATATATCAGACACATCCATTGAAGAGGTGCCTCCATCAATCACCCTTTGCTCTCGTCTTGACTCTCTCTTTATAAAGAATTTTGGAAATCTCAAGGAAATAACACATCTCCCCTCGAGTTTATGGTGTCTAGACCTAAGCAATTCTAGTATTGAAAGGATTCCAGATTGCATCAAAGCTCTTCATCTGCTACAACTCCTTTATCTGTATGGCTGCAGAAGACTCGCATCATTGCCAGAGCTCCCTGTTTCACTCGCACTCCTATATGCAGACGATTGTGAATCACTAGAGACCGTATATTGCCCTCTGAATCATACTCGCTATGCGGATATTGAATTCACCAACTGCTTGAAATTGGACGAACAAGCACGACAAGAGATTATCCAAAGTTCGTTTTTTTGCAAAAGGGTTATCTTACCAGGAAGAGAAATACCTGCAGAGTTCGATCACCGGGGCAGAGGAAATTCACTGACCATTCGACTAGATGGTAACAGTCCTAGTGTTAGGCTTTGCGTCGTGGTGTCACCTAACCATCAAATCAGCCAATATAGCGGATATCCATCACACATATTGTGCCGTCGCATAGGCAAAATCAAAGTTGAGGAGAGTTTCTTTCTACGTAATGTCTCCGAATATCGAGCTGAACATCTTGTTATATTGGACTCTGGCTCGTCATTTATCGATCCCTCTGAAGTGAGCAGAGAGATCATGCTCGAATTCATCATGAAATTCCAGGGCTTAGAAATTATTGAGTGTGGTGCCCATGTCTGGACCGATGAAACAAAGGAAGGGAGCTGCGAATCTAAATTAGACCAAGTGTTTGAAGATGGCTACGATAGTCTCACTAATGGGAGCTGTGAGTTTGAACACAGCCAAGCCTTTGAAGACGACACAAATGGAGTAGTAATCTGTGACGAGATTCTCGAGGGCCAAGAACGTACATATTGTTGGAGCTGGCTCTTCCTTTGCTTCAATTGTCTCCCATTTTGTGAGAAACATCAGTAGCTTGGTTTTGGGAAGACAACACTAAGCCTAATATAAAGTATAAACTTCGTCTCTAGAAAGGAACTTTTGAGTGATTTGATTACTATCTAATAAATTTTGCTACGTTTTTAATTTTGCTAAATACTATCATAATCCTACATTTGCTTGTGATGGTGCCTGAGCTATTGTATCACCCCAGTATTCGAGCGGAATATCTATTTATATTTCAATCTGAATTGCTTGACGAAGACGGATTGACCGAGGTATTGTTGGATTTCAGTACCACATCACATGAATTCGACATTGTTGAATGTGGTATCCAATCTTGACAGACAAACCCGATGGAAGCATAAGCATCCAGGGAAGCTTTGAATCTTGATCAGAACAAGTGTTTGAAGATGACGAGGAAAGTCTATATGATGGGAGAAGCTAAAATTCTGGTTGAGGTTAAATTAGATAAGCCTTTTCCCCAAAGAGTAGCTCTTGAAGATATGAGTGGCTCCATCACAATGGTTGATGTAGTGTATGCCTGGTTGCCTCCAAAGTGTGAGAGATGTGGCCATCTAGGCCATAAAGCTACACGATGTTTAGGTCTGCCTCTTGCTACGAATGTTAAAGACATTGCAACAAGTCCTGTCTTGTCCCGGCTACTGCTAAGTGTGCTGCAACAAGCTCCTTCTCTGCGCCAACAACTACTACGTGTGTTGAAACAAGCTCTTTTTCTACTTCAGAAACTGCTGTCCAGAATACAAAGTTGATTAATCTACCCCCTGGCCTTGAGATGGCTCATGTTATTGCAATGGTTCCAGCCACTGAAGCTCCCAACAATTCTTTTCTCAATTCTGATACTGCTACACTTGAACAAACCACTTCAAAGGCTGTCACGATCACAACAGATCATCATCCTTGTAATATTTATTTCGCATTTAAATTGAAAATCCTTTAGCAAAAAAAAAGTCTATCTGATGGGAGCAATGAATCTTTGTTCCTTGACAGAAATGATCTTCCCTCTCTTCCTAGTTATTTCTTCTATCTTTTGAGGCTTCATTCCTTCGGGATCATCTCTAATCTTGTCAACAAACAGTCATGTTTTATCTTTTTACGCTTTGGTTGATGTGATGATCAATAGATTCGTYGTTGACAATCACCACACATCCCAYWGTTATACCTAACTGTTTTATCCCATAGAATTCAGTATCGTTAATGAGAGCTTCAAGTCCAAACATATGGTTTGAAAATACTTCTTCCCATGTTTTAGAGGTTTTTTTTGGTTTCATAATATAAATTATTTTCAGATTCCTAAGTAGTTTTTACCTTTATTGAATAACTAGGTAAATGACCAGCATATATGCGAGTTTGTAAAATAATATTTTATACATGTGATAAAATATTTTGTAATCCGTGAAG